CCACACCCGTATGAAGCAAGAGCGCTATCCACTAGACCACCAGCCCACTGCAATAGGTGCTCTGCGGCTCTTCATGCGAGCCGAGTGGGACAGGGAATGTAGAGGGCGCCACAGTGAGATAGCCAGTGAGAAGAATCCCTCGTAACTTCGTTCAGAGAATCGTTCGGCAAACCGAAAACGATTTTAGGCTCAGCGTGCATCAGACTGCCCCTCCTTTCAAATGGCCAGACCGACCAAATGACCATTCCTCAAAAGATATCTTTTTGCAAACCCATAACTGCTACAGTTATATATGTAGAACCATAATTTGATGCTAATTGGGGCGTTCCGAGCAGGGTCAAGAGTCTGTTTAACTATCCGGGTCGCATTCTGAATCGTGGTGACATCGCCACTGAGGTAAATGGGAGAGAGATAGGCTGAAAGAGAACATGAATTTGTAAATAAAAAACTAAAAGTTATTCAATTTGAGTTTGGCTGCCTTCTGTATCTCCTACACATCGGCGGGATGAAGCACGAGCTTGACAGAGTTCACAAGGAGGATAACGAGCTTTTTGAGTTCATGCAGTCTCAATGAAAATAAAACACATGCACAGATTGGAGCATAAATATAGCGGCATAGAACCGCAGCAATTCATTTACTGGACAATGAGAAGAGCTAGTGACTGAAGCTCCGGATTTGCCATCGTCTTTTGTATCTAATTCTGATGGTTTCATGGTTTCACGATTTCTTATTTGGTGAATGGCTCCATCTAATCCGAAACGAGGGAAATTTCTAGTCTCACGCGCTGCCGGGTAGACTCTTTTTGAGATCTGTTGTATCGGAAGGATGTATCGCCAGAACCGTCGTATGACTCTATTACAGTACACACGATAACATTTTCATAGATGTCGATTGTTAGTGAAAACCTAAGGATTGCTGAGAGTATCGACAAAAAAAACGTATCCACCACGATTTGGTGAGGGCCACGATAAAGTCGGCTACGGATTCGGCAGTATCAGGATAAACGATGCGACGAGTTCCGCATCGTTCAATCCTGAAACAGATGCTAAAGATAAAGAATGGAACAAAGTTGCAACATGTGTAATAAGAGTGGTTCGTTTCGCCTCCAACTCAGACGAACCACTTTATTATGTACATTTTACGCCATAAACGGCTTGCTCCCTCGGATAGCGAGAGGAAGAGCGGAGTCAAAAACATCGCAAATTTGGGGCGCGGCCGCGAAAGGCGTCCGTTTGTATACCAGCGAGAGAACCTTTGATATTTTTCATGGACGATCATACCTTCATTCGAGGCAATTCAGAAGTGACTATGAGTTCCGAAGAAACTAGCAGAGCAGGAACAGCGGAAATCAAATATAACCTCCTAGCTCAGCGATGAACTGAACCTGAGTAACCGCGATTTCTTCATCTCAGTTTGTTTTCGTCTGTGTGAATAGAATCTTTGAGACAAATGTTACCCAAGGTAGCATTTTGGAGATAGCTCTCGTCACCTCGGCTGCTCATAACGATTTGACTTACTAGCAAGGCGGTATGCCGGCTCATGGATTGAATTTTGTGAAATTCTGCTGCAGAGCCCATTTGTCCGACTTTGAACTGCACAAAGAAAGGCCAGCCAAAACCTCCGATATGAATGTATTGGATTTATTCTGGCAGATACTGTAACTGAAGAAGTGCGCGAAGCAATCTTAGTGGAACGCTAAGAGCTGCTTTACAAAAAGTATTAGATGATTCAGAATTGAGAATGCAGGTGGGTATCTAACATTTGCGCAAGTGTACAAGCGATTGTCGTCGAACACTTGCTTGGTTCATGGCATAGTACTCTCCAGGCATTGTCCATTGGTACATTGCATCATTGATAACTTTATGCTTTCCAGCTCCGTAAACGTAGTCTCCGTCATAGGCGCTAGAATCAGTCAGTATATCAAAGAAATATGTGCTGTTCCGAAGAAGTGCAAAAATGAAGAAAAACGAGGACGACTGAGAATTACGCTATCTCACCTACTAGTATACATACTGACCAAGGTCCAGCTTCTCGATCGAATGTGAACAATTTTTAGTCATTTCCAGTGCCTTTTCTTCGAGTTCGCAATTCCACCTCTGTAATCACAACTTGAGTTCTGAAACAGGCGGCGTGATTGGCTCTTTACAACCGTCCAGTACTGATCATACTAGTGAAAGACACTAAGCACAGTGCTTCAGACGCACACCCTGTGAAAGTTTCCTTAAATAAAACCTCTCCTGGATGGAGTTGTACGGACAAGAACTGAATTTTGGCACTTTGCTCCCGCTACTTTATCCAGTTATCTACTTTATCCGTGTTAACACTGAATGTTACGACCAACGCTTCCGAAATCGAAAAACTGGCCCTTGTGGGCGGCGATATGTTATATGAGGACGTGACATTCATCATTGGACCGAAACAAAATTCTATCATCAGAGCGTGTATAAAAGCCCACGGTGAGGTTGAAGTTTGCGATTCGCGGAACTACTCTGAACTTCTCAGGAATGCTTGTGGTAAGTCTGAATACAAACGTTCACTTCATGCTAAGCTCAAGCTCTTCAGATCTTCACCTTATTGGTCAACCTGTACAGTTTCTGCCTTGGATTCCGCAACACGCCGGATTCACGTACGTCCTGTACTTTTCCACTGTAGGAGATTGCTTAATAGTCATTTGAAGAGGGACACGTCACCCGGAGGGGAAAAAAGCTCACCGGCCGCGCGGCGCGAGCGCGTGCAGCTGACTTTACAGCTGCAGCAACAGCGACGAGAGGACGGACTAAAAGAGTCGTTGTGTAGGTACAATTTGTAT